GAAATGCAAATTAGTACAACCACTGTGGAAAACAGTATGAAGATTTCTTAAAAAATTAAAAATAAAGAATAGAATTACCATATGATCCCGTAATTCCTCTACTGAGTATTTATCCAAAGAAAACAAAAACACTAATTTAAAAAGCTACATGTACCCCTATGTTTACTGCAGCATTATTTGAAATAGCCAAGATATGGATGTAATCTAACTGTCCCTCCATAGATGAGTGAATAAAGAAGATGTTGTATATATAATGGAATATTACTCAGCCATAAAAAAAGAATGAGATCTTGCCATTTGTAACAACATGGATGGACCTGAAGGGTATAATGCTAAGTGAAAGGAGTCAGACAGAAAAAGACAAAAGACAGATGATTTCACTCACATGTTTAAAACAAACAAACAAACAAATGAACAACAATAAAAGAGAGACCAAAAAAAAAAAAAAAGACTCTTAAATGCAGAGAACAAACTGGTGGTTACCAAAGGGAAGGTGAGTGGAGGGATGCGTGAAATAGATAAAGGAGATTAAGAGTACACTAGTGATGGGCGCCTGGGTGGCTCAGTTGGTTAAGCGACTGCCTTCAGCTCAGGTCATGATCCCAGAGTCCTGGGATCGAGTCCCGCATCGGGCTCCCTGCTCTGCGGGGAGCCTGCTTCTCCCTCTCCCACTCCCCCTGCTTGTGTTCCCTCTCTCGCTGTGTCTCTCTCTGTCAAATAAATAAATAAAATCTTTATAAAAAAAAAAGAGTACACTAGTGATGAGCACTGAGTAATGTATAGAAATGTGGAATCATTATATTGTACACCTGAAACTAATATAACACTGTATGTTAATTATACTTCAGTACAAAAAACAAAGTCCTGGATATCCCAAAACACACAGCCACCTCATCAGTTGGAATGGGGACAGGGAAAATTTTCCACACTGAATGCCTCCTCACATTGTCCACTAGCCACTGTGGTATCTCTGTAGTAGGTCTGGAGGAAATGAAGCTCTTTCCTCACTGAGCTCACACTGTAGTCCTCCATAAGAATGTGCAGGTGCTCCATACTGCTCAGTAATGGTGAGTTTGCCTGCCCCCTGTTGGCTTTTGGGCTCAGCACAGAGCGCTCAGAATTCAGCGTTTTGGTGGACATGCACCTTCTGCCGTCTGTCAAGGGCAGTGCAGGATGATCTGTGTTCACTGGAGATGGATGGGCAACCCCCACCCCCATCCCCAGCCACTACTACTAATATATATTTAATATCAAATGAGGAATACCACACACTGAAACAAAAAACATCTTGGTATAAAAAAACGTTTAAAAATACCCTTAAATAGACTCTCATCACTTATCACCGAGATTGTTTCTATACTAATCAATTTCTATGGCCTCCTGTTCATTCTTCACATTGCTGCTAGAAAAATGTTCCTCATTGCTCCTTAGAATATAGTTCTGACTCCATCAATCTGTAGGTGGAAACTTTTGATGGCATTCTACTAAGTTCAGAATAAAATCTATACTCTTTATCATGACAAAAGACTCCACAATTTCACCTCATCTAACTTATCTTTCACCACATCTTCTTTTCACTGTGCTCTAGTACTATCAAAATATCTGCAGTTTTTTGGTTTCCCGTATCATCGCCTGTGGCTCACTCCTCCCTCTTCCCAGAATGCACTTCCTTTCTTTCTTGGCCTAGATAACCCATTGCTCTTCCATTGAGATTTCATTCAAGCATACCTCCTCCAGAAAGCTTTTTGTATACAGTCACATTAAGGCATATTTTATCCATTATCCCATAGTGCCCTGTGCATACTTCTATGAGAACAGTTGTCACTGTTTTCTAATTTTATTTTTATTTCCATCTCTACCACCAGACTATGAATTCCTTGAAGGCCAGATCTGTGTCTTTTTCTCTGAGTCCTCTCTACTTATTATAGTTTTCTAGCACAAACAAATATTAAATAAATATTTCTTGGTTGAATTAAGTAATCTTTTCATAGTTATATGTTTATATGGCATATCTAAAATACATACTTATTGGAGGAAATTGAAGGTTAATGATCAGATCTTATTCACCCTTGAATCCTTAGCATCAAGCAGAATGCCTGACATACAAGTATTCAATAAATGTTAAATTTTTATTGGTCCTAAATGCTCTAGATTGAGTTGATTTGGTGCCTGAGTTCACTGGAAAACCATACCAGTCCTCTACTTTCTTGTGCTATGCCAAACTATTGAGGAAGTTAGTCTGTCAGTCTGTCTTTTGAGGACCTATATTAAGCAAATACTGTGAAAACCGTAAAAGGTTTGGTCTTTGTTCTCTTGGAATTTTATAATCTAAATACCTACATAGCTGAATATATGAGTTTAATATCAGAGTCTGTCATATGGACGAGACAGACAGGATCTTACTCTTCCTATAAAATAGTTCAACACTCCCCTTACCCTCCATGGATTCACAGATAACATTGTTCCCATCTGTGGATGCTATTTTACAATACAAAAACTTTTCTAAAATCCATATCAAGAGCTAGGAAATGAGTCAGAAAAAGACCTCTCACTCTATGAGATAACTTGCTCTAATTTCCTCATTAGTGAAAACGACATCATCATAAAGAATATCTGCCAACAATCTGATATAAAAATGTACATGCATCATGAAAAATAATTGCTGTTCAATTACTACTGAATTATAAAGCCGTCGTACAGGTGCAATAATGCAAGAGCTTTGAAAGTATGAAAAACTGCTTAGCTTAGGTAATTACATGTGTTCGAATAAAGTCCCCAAAATAAAATTTGCAGAGTTTGAAAAAACAATAAAATCAGAACCAAAGTGCTATTTATAGCTATATATTTTTTAATTTTCTGGTTTTTTTCTCTTGTATAAATTTTGAAAGACCAGGGATAATAATTTTTAACTCTGGGGTCCAGAGAAAGAGAGCAATGTAGTAGCTCTTCCTTTGCTTTCCACCTTCCCCACCTCTCAAATTGGATCCACAGGGGCAGTACCACGAAGATAGAAATCTAGCCATAACCAAGGTAATTGTATCTTTTAAAATAGTTAAATCTTACTTATGCCCTCTGCATAGTTTACATATACAAAAGGAAAAATTTATAGGAAGACAATTCCATTACTACTGTGAAAGGGATATATTTCTTGTAAATTTCCAAGGTCTTTAGCAAGGGAAATTAGAAGCAGAGAACCAGAAAGGGCCTTAAATCTCATCTACTCCAAGGCCCTTAGTCACTGTTTAAGAAAACGGAGGTCTTAAAAATTTTATTGTACACACTTGTGTAGACAGTGGAAGAACTGGGTCTAAAAGCATTTCTACAATATTGCAGATTTGATTAAGCATAAGCTCTATTGTTCCAGGTCAGTTTCTAATTTTCAAAGTACTCAAATTTCAAAGCTCTAAGACTTATTTTTACCCAACTGCAATGTTATAAAAATAAAATTAGACTGGCAGCAAAGGGACATGAATTTATGGCAGGACAGGTTATTAATTAGTTAAAATAGCTTAGACCAGTCATTTCACCTCTCAGACCTTCAGTTGTAAAACACTGTGAAGCAAGGAGCGTGGCCAAAATGCCCTCTTGCAGATCTAAAATCATACAAATTTGAAATTAGAGGATAGTTGGTCTAAAATTATGGGTGTCTAAAAAGAGATACCGCCGGTCTTATCTGTGTATCCACCATCTCCAATACTCCCCCACCAATGGTAAGACATCTTGCTTAGGGAGCCATCATTCCTTTAAAGCACGTCTGTTAACTTACGGCCAAGCTCATATTCTAAACAAATGATTGGTTTAAGAGCTGGGAGGGAGGGGTGTGGAAGGGGCTTTAACATTCATCATTATTTTAAGTTTTCAAGACCAGTGCTATAGAAGTTAAATATTTCCTCCTACATATTTTCCCCAAAATTGGTGCAGGCAAAACCCAAATCTGAGATGAATGACAGGGACTTAGTTTCACCTTCTCGTTGATTAACATAATACATGATCCAACTGCTTTCATTTTTCTTTTAATGAAAATATAATCTAGTGTTAAAATAACAGCCACATTGTTTAGTTTACCCCAAGAAATAAGAGGAAGTGACTCAAAGAAATTTAAATTATATTCATATTTTGTAATTAATTTTAAAACAACTAAAGCATATCCATTTTCCTATTTTAATAAAAACTTTAATTTTTTCTCAAAAAAAGATTATTGTTGTTCTACAGTTTATGTTTAGCATTGGCTATAGTCTCTTATAGCCATCTGTAGGCCCCTTCCTTGGGGGTGGCATAATGCCCCATAAATTCTCATGAAATTTGAACGGTATTCAATAGAGGTGATTAGCTAGAAAGCCATGTTCTAAGCTTTCTTTGCTTTGGGAATGTTTAACATTGTTATACAAAGTTTCGTTGGAGATACCTTTCACCTGGGCTCAAAGCAAGAAGTAACTCTTTCCACATGCACAAAGAAAGCGAATTTGATTCCCCTCTTTCATGGCCTATCAAATATGATGTTGGGGCCTCAAACTCCATCTGTCACATAGTAGTCATCTTCCTTTACCCCAGATCTGTTCCTTTGTGCTGCATAAGACCGCTACCCACTGAAATGTCTACACTAGAAAGCTGTACATCATCCTTAATGCCCTTATTTCCTCATGCCACACATCCAAGGAGCCCTAAAGCTTCTGTGTCTGCTTTTCTATCAAACCCTAGTACTTTTTTCCATTTATTTTCCCTAGATTACTATATTAGTACTCTAAGTGGTGGTGGTGAGAAAAAGAAGTATCTAGAAATTATTGGGTCTTGCCAGTACCTCTTAACTCATGCCCATACTTCTGATCTTGAATAGAAAAAAAAATGATTTCGTATGAAAAGCTTTAGTCCTTTATACCTTGCTTTTGGTAGAAATTCATTCTACTTAGATAAGTCTGGCGTATGGAAGAAAACTGACTTCGAGAACCAGTCAAAACTCTGTCTCATAAAGCCATTTATGATCTGTTTTTTTATCTTTTCAGCTTCAGGATTCATGTCTGCCCAGATCCTTGTAGCTCCCTGATCCAGATCTTCTGAATCTGCTCCTGCCTCAAACCATTGAAAAAAAAAACTTCTTAGGTCCTTCAAGAGTAAACGTTCTACATTACAGAGAACAAGCTCTCTGTTAGAAGCACCTCTCACCTTACATATTTTCTCCAAGCTGAATTCTATCCCTCAAAAGAACCCAAGCAGAGATATTGCTTCAATGGGAACCCTTCTGTGAACTTGCTGAGGTTGGGAAAGAAGCTCTGCTGTATGCTCTGTGGCCCTTTCTTTTTCCTCCATCATGGCACACAGCTCACTGGACCGTAGTTCTTGCTGGATCATTGATATTCCTTATTGCACTGTAGCCCCAGAAAGCCAAGGCTAGTATTTCGTCGTTACAGGATCCTCAGAGCCTGGCTTCTACTAGGTGCTTAATAAATATTTGGTCGTGGTCAGATAAGGTCCACTGGTGCATAGGAACGCTTTTGTTTCCTTCATAACATCTCAAGGACGTCAAATCCTTAACCATTCTTTCATTTATTCACTCAGGAAGTCAACTACACATTTATCCATTTAAAATGTTTTAATATATAGGCATCAAGTGGATTTTACCTAGTTATTAAGAGTCAAGATCCTGGTAGCAGACTGGGAAAAACTAAACGAAGAGCACTCCTTGCAGAACTCTGATGGAATAAAGGTTATTTGTGTCTGAATATGGCAAACATCACAGCGACCCTCAGCCCCTAGGCACACGCTGAAACCACCAGTACATTCCAGGCAGCGTGCTAGGCAGTGGGGGTGTAAAGACAAGTAGGAAACTGCTCCTGTTCTCCAAGATCTCAGTCAGTGAGGAAAAGTCATGCAAACTAATTAATATATGTATATGTATCAAAAGAGAGAAAGCGATACAGTGTTTTGAGAGCACAGAAAAGACTATCTGAGAATCAGAGGAGCCTTTACTGAGGATGTGATACTGATGCTGAGTTTTAAGGAATGAAAAGAGGCTCCCTGAGTGGAAGCAATGGCATGTGAAAAGATAAAAAGATGAAAGAGCATAGCGTAGTCATGAAACCGTGAGCATGTCATCCAGCTCCATGGCAGACTGGCAAGGGAAGGTTCTCATCACAAAAAAAAAAAAAAAAAAAAAAAGTTTCTGGAGGGTTTAGGGAGAATTACATAGAAGAATGTTTCCCAATACCTTGGAATTAGAAATGATTTTAGGTGATATGTAGTTTGGACATTAAATAATGTAGAATTCTGTGGAGAAAAAAAGTGGTTTTTTACATAATATCTTTCCATATTTTTATTATATGAAAGAAAAAACATCTGTTAAGTGTAGGCTCTGGAGTCAGAGCACCTAGGTTGAAGTGTCTGCTGTATAATTAATTATCTTGAATAAGTTAATTTATTTTGTGCCTCAGTTTCCATAACTGTAAAATGGGGTTCATAAAAATAGCATTTACATCATTAAGTGGTTCCAAAGATAAATGAATTAATTCTTAGAATGGAACCTGACCAAAAAAAGCACTTAATAAGTGTTAGCTATTATTTTTAATTAGGATTATTATATTTATTTTTATCTGTTATTATGGCAAGTGATGCCATTTACAGTAATAATTTAAAGTTTCCTGTTAAATGGACTTACTTGATCTTAAAGAACAAATCATTCTAAATAATACTACTAAGGAAACAATATAAGAGAAAAAATCAGGACAGGCAGAGGGGCAAGAGAGTCCACAGATATGGGAAATAGGTGAAAATAATGTACACATGACTGGGGTTGAGATCAAAGGAAGCCATACTGGAGGCAGTGAGAAAAGGAGAAAGGTTAAAAGTTCAAATTTAGATCAGAGTAGAAAAGGTGAAGAAGAAAAAGTTGGATTTGTGAAATGTTTAGAAGGTTGAATTGACAGGATTTCCCAGCTCTCAAAGTCTAGATAGTGCCTGGCATGTGGTAAGAACTCAGTAAATATTTTCTGTGAAAAGGTAGACAAAATAGGTGAGGAAACAATAAAGAAAAAGTCTAAGACATCTCACAATTTTCCAGTTTGAATATTTGGGTAGGTGGTGATGTTAAAGAAGGTAAAGCAAGAGGAGGAGGACCTGGAAAGAAGATGATGAGTTAGCACAGGATGTGATGAGTTTGATTTTTTAATAGAAATCTAGATGGAGATGTCCATCAGTTTTTCAGAAACTCAGGACAAATGTCTTGGTTACACATATAGTTTTGAGATCTATCAATTCCATATTCTTAAGTACGTCTCTGTTTTTTTCTTCATGATCAAAACAGAAAGAAAAGACAGAAAAAGAGGGATGGTATGGATGGTGTCTATCAGGCAGGGTTCTCCAGAGAAACAGAACCAAAAGGATACACATTTATGCAGTAAGAGATTTATTTTAAGGAATTGGCTCACATGATTGTGAAGGCTTCATGAGTCCAAAATCTGATTGAAGACTCTGGGAGGTTTGAGACTCAGGAAAAAGTTACAGTTCGGGACCAAAAGCAGTCTGCTGGAAAACCAGGAAGAGCCAATATTGCAGGAAAGTCCAAAGGCAATCTCCTTAAGGATCACCTCTTGCTCAGGGGAGTCAGCCTTTTGTTCTATTCTGGCCTTCAATTGACTGGATAAAGCAATATGCTTTGCTTAAAGACAGTGATTGAAATGTAAATCTCATCCAAAAATGCCTTCACAGAAACATCCAGAATATTGTTTGGCCAAATTGTCTGGGCACTGTGGCCCAGCCAAGTTGACACATAAAATTATTATAGTGTACCTGTGATAAATCACCCTCATCTTACTTACTTTATACAAATATGCCTTCTATGTAGATTTCAGTACAATAGCAAAATTCATAATAGTCATTAGTGGTATGGAGGGAAATCCCCTTAGGAGTACAACGGCCTTCATTCTTAGTTATCCTCAGAAAAAGAATAGAATATTTTTTGCATACTTGGGACGGCATGAGCTATTATCTGCTGGAGTCTGAAGTAATTCTCCTTCTCACTAGATAGGAGGATAGGGGTAAAAATACATACAATTGCCAGAGCCTCTGTATAATGGAAGAGTAAGGGTTAACACAGAGAATGTCTTTCCTAAAACAAAACTACAGTCTGATATGTACCGTTGCATTTCCACTTCACAGCTTAAACAATGCAGCAAAAATTTCACTCCAACAAGTCTTTGATGCACAATTTTAATAATTAAATTATAGTTAAGACCAGTCCTTCATGTTCTTGACAATGCTTGAACCAGGTTTTTTACCAAACTTCATAGTCAATGTAATAAAATGGAATTGATAGGCCTAAAAGAATAAATATCTTCAAATGACCTTTGTGCTTATCATATACAGAGAATTATTGAGCTAGAAAAGCTCTTCCCTTAAAAAATGCTTATTAAGTGTTTAGAGGACCTATGAAAAGTCATTCCACAAATGTACATAAAATTTGAAAGTGTTACAGCAACACATTGTAAAACCATTTTAGAAAATACTATAGTTTTCTCAAAATTTATAATCAACTTAGAGATTATAAAAATACTTTATAATCCTACATTACTAAAAATGGCCTCCATAAAAGCAGGGTTTCCATTTCTGGTACATTCCTGCAACCCTCATGGGATCTGATGCATTCATGCTCTGGATGCTTAGTAAAAACCATGGAGGATCATTAGTTCATCAAATGAGCCTCTGACTAATTTTCCAAATTAAATAAGATACATTTTCCAATACCTGTAAGTATGGCCAACATTATTACCCCACACATTGACTTATGACTTTTGTTTTGCCAGTGAAGAATTCTAGTGTTGGGGTACCTGGGTGGCTCAGTTGCTTAAGTGTCTGCCTTTGGCTCAGGTCATGATCCCAGGGTCCTGGGATCGAGCCCCACGTCAGGATCCCTGCTCGATAGGGAGCCTGCATCTCCCTCTCTCTCTGCTGTTCCCTCTTGCTTGTGCTTGCTCTCTCTCTCTCTCTCTGTAAAAATAAGTAAATAAAATCTAAAAAAAATTCTAGTGTTAAGTATAGTCTTTGCATTCCAAAAACAACATGGGCTTTTCAATTAAAAAAAAAAAAATGCCTGAAGTTTGTATTGCAATTTGACTTATATCAACATGCCTGAAAACTTTCCCACATTTTAACTCAGTAATACTGTTAAATACTAGTCTACGAATATAATGTGGGTTTCTTAAATTCCACCTATGAGTATAATCATATGGCATTTATTTTTCTCTGACTGACTTATTTCATTTAGCATAATACTCTCTAGCTCCATCCATGTCGTTGCAAATGGCAAGATTTCATTCTTTTTGATGGCTGAGTAATATTCCATATGTGTGCCCGTGTGTGTGTGTGTGTGTGTGTGTGCACGCACGCGCGTGCCTCTTTTTTATCCATTTGTCAGTCGATGAACATTTGGGCTCTTTACATAATTTAGCTATTGTGGAAAAAACAAATGATCATAGGAGGGAAACAAGAGAGAGGAAAACCAAGAAACAGGCTCTTAACTATAGAGAACAAATTGAGGATTACCAGATGGGTGGTGGGGGGACAGATTAAATAGGTGATGGGGATTAAGGAGGGCACTTGTGATGAGCACCAGATATTGTATGTTAAGTGCTGAATCACTAAACTGTACACCCGAAATGAATATTACAGTGTATGCTAACCAACTGGAATTAAAAAAAAAAAAAATTTAAAGAATATAATGTGGGAATGGGGGAAGTTTTATGAACAAATTTACTCATTCCAGCATTGTTTATAAAGGTATTTTTTCTTTTAGATGTGGGTGGATAATCAAAACTTGAAGAACATCTGGTTTATAACTGATCTGAGACAAATGTAACCAACCAAAAATGGAGGAATAGTTAAGGGAATGATGTATCTATTAATACAACCATAAAACTTTATGTTCACAAAGACTTCATAATGGAATGTTAAATTAACTACAAAAAGGAAAGAAAATGCATTATACAGTAGTTGCATATAATTATATAATTTAAATATTTAAAGTCTATTAATAAAAAACAGTCACATGGGGGAAAACATCAAAATAAATTCTGCAAAAACTTTCACTTTATTTCTATTTCTAGATATTTTCTACATTGGATCCAGTCTACATGTATTGCTCTTAAAATGGAGGAAAAATATGATTTTATTAAGGGAGATGGAGAGAAAAAAAGAACCAGCTGAGGTTTGGGGTGGGGGGAATTTTGCATGAAGCTAAAGGATGCATAAGCCCCCACTCAAGAGCTCAAGGTTGTTGGTAAAGATTATGGCATTCAATATTCCCTGCCAAATGTTATTCTTATGGGATTGGTATTTGTCCTTTACGCTCCTTCTGAGCTTGGTATTGAGAAATGGCAATAAAAAAGAGGTGTTTTCCTATTGCTTTAACTCTACTCAGCAAATGCTCTTGCTCTGCCTGACTCAACCATCTCCAAACCACAGGTTGCCACTACCTATGGCCTGTTTGGGGACAAGGATACATGCTGTAGCCAAAGAATTCAAACATGCTTATCATCAGGCTCTGGAAAGTGTTAGGACTACCCTACCTATGATATAATCCTGCACAAGTCCTTCGTCAGGTGCCGGTTAAATACAAACCCAGTGGCTGGAGAAAAACTTTCCCTGAATCTGGGGCAAACAACAACATAAAGTATCACTTTGGGTTCTCTGTCAACCACAGAAATCAAACATGGCTACCTTAGTCAAACTAAACTTGATTGGAAAGGGAGTCCTTTACAGAGGAAAAATTAATCATGTCTCCTGAAGGATAGGAACCAGGACGGCACTGAATTTTCCATCAGAACCTCACAAAAAATCCCTTTTCTGAGAGCTGCCATCTGAATGACTCAGCTTCCATGTCCAAATTGGAGTCATTACACTCATGATTAAAATTCTTGGGGAGAAACTATAAGAGGATTGCCTTGGACCATGTGTTGATTCCTTTGGCCAGAAGAAAACCCCACCAGGATATCATGGAGTAGAAGGAAGTTATTCCCCAAAGGTAAGACGTTTGTTGGGGCTTACCCTAGACGGTCCCAGATATAATATGTCTGTTTTTCAGGAATACCTCTAAATATCTTCATTTTAACTCAGGGAAGTGTCCAAGTTTAGATAATAAATTGCATGATCACTCTACACAAAGGAAAAAATAGGGCATCGTTACCAAAGAGGGGGGAGTGATGCTGAGCAGATGAAAAAGGAAGGAAACTATTAGAAGGAACTGAAGCAAAGTGTTTGCTCCCAATCTCTCAGGTCAAAAGATAAGAATCAGAGTCAAAAACTCCTTATCGGTCTTTTGCTTCTGACTCCAACATAAAATTAACATTCCTTTACTCACTCCCTGTGTGTTGAGTTATTATGACTTTAACCCAATGGTTCCATCTGCTTGTCTTCCTATGTCCTTGCAGCTAAATCCCTAAATGTTCAAGTGTTCTCTTTCGCTGCTGCTTTTTTTAGCTTAATTGGTGCCCTCCTGCTTTCCAAAATAGAATGCTAACATCCATTCACCCAGCTGGAGGAGGGTCAGGGTGATACCAGATCCAATATTCCCCAAAGCATGTGTAAGATGGTTGCTGTGTCCCTGCTGCTGACTAATAATAAGGAGTCAAAAAGCACCTTTTGATTCCGATTTCCTCCGAGAGGCTGTTCTACAAGCATGGGGTCAACTTAAAGGAAAAGGGTTTTTGTTTAATATTTTCTCCTTTCATTAGTGCACTTAAATTACTTTCTTGCAAACTCTGCTTGTTACCTAAATGTACTAGCACTTTTGTTACCTAATTAGCTTTCTTATCAGAATTCCAACCAAAAATAACAAGAAATGTAATAATGATAAGGTATCCTGCCCCCTCAAAACAGATTTCCTTTCGCGCTTTATCTCTCGGTGCTGTTCTGGCTTGTTTAATTAAAGTATCAGAAATTATTAGACTCAAATTATTTCTTGATCTAGTGCTCAAATTCTCCTGAAAAACTGCTTCTTTTGCCTCAGTATTTAAACCTTTATCAGTGTGAGGCAGATGAGTTTCCACACGTATGCAACAGGGTTCATGTAATACAATATAAGTTTGGAGGGAGAGCCTAATTAGCCTCTAAATAATTAGACAAATCAAATTTGGCTACACTGGGCTACCGTGAACATTTAAATACTTGGGTCTCCTCTCCTGTGCTCCCCCACGTTAATGTGCAAAAGAACTTATGAAACTTTAGCATGGAGTTGTGAAATTCAAAGCAAAGATCTTACTTATTTTTTCATTAGAAGGGTGGGAGTAAAAAATTCACCAAGCTCAAAACATTGACATAAGTTGCATTCAAGGAGGGTAGTCATGCCTGTTACAGACTTTTGAAACAATGGATGAGAGAGTATCCTTACATCACAGCCCTGAGAAGGAGAAAACTCTCAGACATACTGGTTATTTTGCTTCATCACACACTGTGAAAAAAATTTGGGTTGGAATCTGCTTGCTTCTGGTGGAGATGTGTGAGCGGTTCACTTTCTTTGAAGTCGTCTGCAATATGATCCCCTTTTGCACTGTCAAGCTTGGCTATCCCAATTACCAGGCAGCCATTTTGAACTTGTGTTTTATTGGAACTTCAATACTTAGCCCTGTGTTTGTGGGATGGCTTGCTGATGCCTGTCTAGGAAGAAACAAACTGGTATATGCTTGCTTATGTCTACATTTTCTAGGTGAGTGTCCTCTTCTGACTGGATCATTTTGCAACTTAACTGAACAGATTTTTGTTCGAGTTTTCCTCTCTCTTATCCTAATTTTGCTCTTAGTGTAAAATGTGATAAATGAAGTAAGAATGTAGTTTCAATTTACTTTGTTCTTGGTATTATTTGAGGGACGCTAGTAAACATATGTGCATATGTGTGTGTGTGGATGTGTGGATGCTTTGATGACTATATTGTTGTACTGATTGTATTTTATAATAATTATCTCTTTACATACCTGTCTTCTGTACTCCTTCAAACACCCTGCTTTTCCCCCTTCCTACCCCAAGCCCAAATTCGTGACAAATTCTATGTGAAACATGAAGTTCATTTGCTTCACAACTAAGATGAAATGTGCTAAAAAGGTTTTTGAAGTTCAGGTAGAATAATTGAAGAATGTTTTCATCAAAAGGTGGTTTTTAATTAGTCATAGAGTAAGATTGCATAGGGAGGCATGATTTCTATGTTATGAACTATGGCTACATGCTAAATAAATGAGTGAATTCAAACGTTACACTAAGCTTCTTTACATAGAGAAAAATAAATATATCTACAAAACTTTGGGAGTGAAGTGATCCTGGGAAATGTTGGGGAAATATCAAGATTGTTTGATAAAGTATAGAAAGTAAGTTGATGAACAGTCTAGAATTTGGGGCTAAAAGGTTCAAGTTGTTCTTCTGGACAACAAGGAGTCACTGAAGATATGATGAAAAACATCTGAGAAATGTTTTTTTCAATAAACAGGATAGGAAACCACAGTGAGAGGTTAAATAGAGGGAGACCAGAACATCTCAGGAGGACGGTCTAGAAGAAGTGTCAATCCAGGACAGAACATGTGAAAAACCATAAAAACTTGACAACTAAACAAGAGCACAAATATGATGAAGGAACAAAAATTAACTCCAAGTTTCTGAGCTGAGGGACTTAGGAAGCTAGTATGTGGTTCACTGATACTGTGAAATGCAGCAGAAATGCAGGTTTGGGGGGACAGGGGAGGAGATAAATGAGGAAGGGATGGATATCGGGTATTCAACATATCCCCCAATTTCAGACAGGTGATAAATTACCATTCACCATTCATCAGTTAGAGTGTGATTCAAACTTATAACTCTTTACTGCGTCAGCTTTGTTAAGTAAAAACGAAGTTACTGCATGGCAAATATTGACTCAACATTCAACAAATATTCTTCAGTGACCACTCTGGCCTTATCCTAAGATCTGGGAATGCAACAGAAAAGAAAGCAGTCTCTTGTCTGCCAAAGTTGACTTTCCAGTGTGGGAAAGAGAAAATAAACAAGCAAATGATATTATGTCAGGTGCTCAGGAGCGTTACGATGAAAAATATAGGTGGGTAAGGGGGAGACAGGGCAGACTAGACAGTGACATGGTTGCTGTTCTGTATCAGAGAATGTTTTCTGATAAGGAGACATTTAAGCAAGTGTCTGAATGATTTACTCTTCTTGTCTTGGTAACAGGCCATACCCATGGCACTTGGCAACTTCTTATTTAACATGGCAATTCCTATCAGTCTAAATTCCTGCATAAGCCATCAGACTAGGCCTGAGTCCCAGTTTTAGAATTTGACAAATAAAAGACCTAAATCAACTCCATATCCATTCATTTTCTTACAAAAAGCCATTTCCTTGTGCCCCCCACTCATGCTGCCATCAAATTCCAACCAGTCACTGAGTATCAGAGGTTCCATCAAAAATATGTCTTCTGTTTCAAATGTTAGCCCTTAGCTCAAAAATGCAGCTTTCTTTTTCTTGACCATTACAATGGCCTACTTACTGGGCTATTAGAGGTCAGTATGACTCCAATCCATATACCTTTCTACTAACAGCATTGACTAAGAATAAATAAGAATAAATCTATATATATCTATATAAATCTATAGAATAAATCTACATATCAGCTGTCTAATCTAAAAAACAAAATCCAGTTTAGTACATAAGAACCTTTACAATCTGTCCCAAATTTCCCTTTCCAGACTTTTGTCTCAGTATATGACCTCAACCATGCTGAACTTCGGCTTGCCTCTAATCCCCTACTTCTCTACTGTTACTTATGCTTTCTTTCTATGCCTGAAATTGTCAACCTTCCTTTATCTTTCTACTCCATAGCCAAGACTTGAAAAATCCTGTCCTTCCTTCAACACCCCCGTTGCTCAACCACATTCTAATCATACCTCTATAATTTCACTTACCACATCATAATCCTAATTTCCACCTGAACGTCTGTCTTCTCTGATGGACTCGTTAGCTCCTGGAGAGCACACCAGGGGACCCCAACCACCCAGCAGAGGATATGACACATCCTGGTGTTTTATACAGAGCTACCAAGTATGTGTGCTGATTATGGAGGGCACAATCAGCACACATCAAAGAGGAGACTTCCTATCATACATGTCAGAGACTTGTATCTTTATTACTTCAATTTTACAACAGATAAAAACAAAGTTTTGATCTAATGAAATCAGTATATTATGACATTTCCGCAAAAGATAGAAGTAGGGTGCCTTTCTAATTTACACAAAGGAACCACTAAGAGTGCTTTGTCTGCAAGAAGCCACTCTCTGCCCACTCCCTTTGGATAACCCTTTGCCTTGCCAGGCCTCACATTACACTTCCAGAGACAAGGAGAACTGAGTGGCAGAGAGAAGTAGTTGGCGTCATATCTGGCCCAACTTAAATTGAAACATTTCAAACTCAGTAATTTAAAGGACCCGTTCTCATGGTAAATCAATTTGTTACCACATATTGAGTGCATATATTCTTCAGATTATAAAAGCCACTGTAAGGGAGATAAAACATTAGACCCAATTTCTGCCTTTAAGGAACTTATATAGTCCAATTGAGAAAACTAACCACATACAGCCACCATATAAAAAATCATACGAAAAATATGAATGTTAAATTAATAAAGCCCAGATTATATCTGGGTTACTCTGTAACATTGGGCAAGTCCCTTAAACTCCCTGAACCTGGGTTGTTTTTTTTTTTTTTTGAAAAATTGGAATAAGAAAATCTATCTTCTGACGTCACCAAGTTTTTCCAAGATGAAACAATATAATACATATAAATGTTTTACAGAATTTAAAGAGCTGCACAAAAGTATGGAATTGAATCGCAATTTCTATTAAACAAGGAAAGTGTTCGAGTGTGGTCCCTCTGAGATGAAAGTGAGAAGAGGCTGGACCCCCATCCCTTGTCCCTTCCTGTCCTCCCTGCTCCCCCTCCTCCTGCCCGGTACCGAATCACCCACCTCACCTTCTCACCTCTGTGTGAGCCAAGATGGCTCTGCTCAGGGGCATAAGAAGTGAAAGAAATCAAAGGGCATGAAAAGGAGAAAGAGAAGTAGAAAAGGCAAAGAGATCTACGTTCTTCTTACCGCTATGATAATGTTCTCCATAAAACATTTTCTTTAACAGGCTCCTGACAAATCTGAGATCTTTGAGTTTTCTATCACTCTAGTGACTGAGAACAAATAACCCTTACTAACAGTGGTTTTCTCTGGGGGGTGAAATTACAGGCATCTCTCGTTTCTTATATGATCTGTTTCCAAATGTTGTTAAAGTGGACATGACTTGCTCATACACTCTGTGAGAGAAGATAGGTCAAGGTGAAGGGGGGAAAAACTAGGCCCCTGGATTAATTAAAACACAGAGAGAAGAAAAATTGCACATTTAGAAAAATCATGCTGTCTCCAGAATCGCAGTGACTAACAAATATTTCAAGAAGACAATCACATAATGATGCTCCTTTCAGAGGAAAAACCTTATTTATAATGTGGTTTGGTGATTGGGTTGGTCTGTGCCATATTTATTCTCCTTTTTTCTCTCTCTACAGGCACTGCTTTGTTATCCATGGTTGCTTTTCCCTTGGAAGATTTCTATATAGGAACTCACCATATGATTAACCATATACCAAAAGAGGAGCAGAAGAGGCTGTTCTACACAGCCCTGTTGGCCATCTGCCTTGGTACAGGAGGAATGAGAGCCATCATTTGTCCGCCGGGTGCCTACAACCTTCAGGAGCATGGGTCCCAGAAACAAATGTCTTTTTTTAACTGGTAAGTCATACTGGCTAGGAGTGAAATGAGCCTTATGACATTCCTCTCCCTTCTGGTATTTCTCATTGTTTGCTCTCTGGTCCTATTTTGATTGTAGTAATTCGGTGTTTGTCATTGACTGGGCTGGGTCAAGTGACGATGTGACAGTGCCTGGGACAGGATTCAGCCAGTAAGTGTGAGGGGCCTATGAGTCAGGCACAGACCCATGCAGCTTACAAGCACCTTCCAGAAACACACTGCCTTGTCATACTGAGTAGAAGGTGGCTTTGGAGCCAAATAGGTCTCGACTCTACTTAACACGAGCTATCTGACCTTCTCTGTAAGTCTCAGTTTAATCATTTGTGAAGGGCTATCAATAATACCTCTTCTTGGGTTTTATTAGAGGCAATAATGTGTGTCTTGCAGGCAGAGAACCTGGCACATGGTAGGTGATCATAAATGGTAGCTGTTATTAGTTCTGTCTACACTGTAAGAAGCAAATTTGGCAGAGATTATAAATTCACGGGACAGTGCACAGAGAAGATAAAAAAGAACAGAAAAAGTATTTTACAATTTGTTGAAACATCAGCCAGCACTTCTGTTTGGCATTCACTTCAACCTTAACACCTAAAAGAGTTTATATTCCATGAAAATCAAACTGCCTTTCTGTGAATCTTTTTCTCTCTCAGTGAGTTCTTACACAGTTTTATGTGGTTTTAAGGAACCAATTTTTATTATCAAATACGAATTCAAAAAAAAATTCGATCTTAAGGTAGAGTATTTTGTTGTTATTATTCATCAGTGAATGTCAAGTAGATCTGAAAATATTCTTTTGTTCCCTCTTTTCTGTGAAATGAGTTGTCAACATTTTTCTAAATATTCTGTATTTCCAGCAATGTTAGCAATGGAAAAAATCAAGGCACAGACAGAATCAGACAAAATGTTTAAAGAAAATTCATATTTAAAGCATTAAATTAAAAAAAATGTAGCATAAATAATCTCTGTATATATAACTACCCAAGGCAGTCAGTTTCTTTCTTTCCTTTTCTTTCACTCTCCCTCTTTCTCTCTTCTTTCTTCTTTCTTTCTTTCTTTCTTTCTTTCTTTCTTTCTTTCTTTCTTTCTTTCTTTCTTTCTTTCTTTCTTTCTTTCTTTCTTTCTTTCTTCTTTCTCCCCCCCTTCCAATTATATTAATATTACAAAGCACTCAGGCCTATTTTGAATTCAGTCCAAATGTCAGAAAATAATGCAGTTTTACCAAAGGTGGAAGGGACTCTTTACTTCCTTATAGCAAATTCTGCCTCCTTGACCTGCCCAAAGGAGAAAGAAAAATCCTTCTTTTTTATTCTATTCGGAGGTTTTAATCCTTAATTAGCAACATCATTTTGATTAAATAAGACTCTGGAGGATTAAGACTGGAGAGCAATCAGTTGTTCTGAAAGATAGCTCTGGAGAATTTATTGTACTGTGGTCTTAGTCATTCAGAGTTGTGTTTAATCAAAGTGACATTTCTCAGTGTTGATTACAAAGGAGACATTATATGAATGAAATATTTCCTTTGGGAAAGGGGGGGGACTCCCAATGGGTTTGTACTTTAGGCCTTTAAAGGGGGGATGGGGAGTGGGGTGAAAATGAATTTCTGCAGCAGTGAGGAGCCAGGCCAAATTTAGGATGAACACATTTCAATGTGTCTTATTACTTCCTAATTTCACTAAAATCTCTAATAAAAAGAATCATGCAGGGGTGCCTGGATGGCTCAGTTGGTTGAACATCTAACTCTTGGTTTTCAGCTCAGGTCATGATCTCAGGGTCAAGAGATCTAACCCACATCAGCTCCCTGCTCAGTGGGGAGTCTGTTGAGATTCTCTCTCTCCCTCTCCCTCTGCCCCTCCCCAACATGCTTGTGTGCTTTCTCCTCTCTCTCTCTCCCTAAAAATAAATAAATAAATCTTTTAAAAAAGAAAAGAATCATGTAGAATTTTTAAAACCTAACGTTAAAGCACCTAGAAATGTAGGGCGCCTGAGTGGCTCAGTTGGTTAAGCATCTGCTTTCAGCTCAGACCATGATCCCAGGGTCCTGGGATTGAGCCCCATGGAACCCCACATTGGGTTCCCTGATCAGTGGGGAGTCTGCTTCTCCCTCTGCCCCTCCCTCTGCTTGTGCTTTTTGTCTCTCAAATAAATAAATGGAATCTTTAAAAAAAAAAAAAAAGCACCTAGAAATGTGCATGAGGAATCAAGGTCTTACTCTTTCATGTGCTAAAGGATGGTAAGCATCTTGGAGGCTGATCTGGTTGTTTCCATTTTTGGTGGGGTGGGGGAGAGGTTAAGTTTATAGTACCAGGCTACAGGGAAACTTCTATGGGCAACTGCTTTTTGTAATTTATGGAAAAGAATATTAACTCTATTGCTATACATACTGCAGTGTGGGTGGCAAGATGGACAGAGACCCTACTGGGCAGCCAGAAGGCTGAAAGGATCCTGACTCTGTCACAGGAGTTTTCTACTTTTTGGCTAGTTCCTTAATCTCTCTGGGCACCAGTCCCTCATCCACAAAATGGGAATACACTGGACGGTGGTTTAGAGCTTATATATAAAGTATCCTAGCACATCATAGGTATTCAAAATAGGGTAGCTATTGTTATTAAATGACAAATCAGCTAAAATCATTTTCTAAATTCTGGGCAAGAGGGAACACATTTAAGAGGAGGCCATCTTTAAATGGGCAGTGCCTTAATTTAAAATCTATTTCTCCATGTCAAAAATGCCTCTAGAAATTACAAGCTTGGTTAATATAATGAATTTCAGTAGTGTCTTTAAAAAAACAGCATACCACTTGAATCTGTACCACTTGAAGGCTGCATCCAGTTCTATTTTCAGCACAGATGTCAGATGTTCCTAGTTACAGGACCTTTAATGAGATGTGTCATTGCATCTATACCACCTAAAGCTTCCCAGTGATTATGTTAAATAGTATAGACTGGAAGTCTCGAACATTGAAAGCACCACTTCCGAGTAGAGCTGCCAAATGTAGGTGAGAAAACCACTCCCAGCCAACATTACCATCTGGTACTGGATCTTCCTCAACTATGCACCTTATTGAAAGAATAAAGCTAAACTCCCTAAAATCAAGAGGCATAATAATCTTCCAACATCCTTGTGCCATTATCTAGATTAGAACCTGGCTCTTCCAGCATTTTCCAAAATCTGAGGTGTGTAATTAAGAGTCAACACACTGGAGATCATCTGGGTAAATACACCTGTGCAGTATCTTTTCTAGAAACAAAAAGAAAGGTGGATAATTAAGTCTGTCTATAACCATAATTTTAAATTCTACTGCAATTAACTTCAAATCTTGCTTCCACATTTCTCTACTTACTTCACCTGGTAATTTGCATCCAATCTGCATATCCTAGTCTGTTCCTAACTAGTTACCAGAGTGAATTATACATGATTTAAAAGTCCAAATAGAATATTGGTAGAGTTCTTGAAAAAAATCTGGAGACTAACTTATTCTATCCCAGAAATTTTGAATATCTGGTACTCAGATTGACTCTACATAATATTTGTCTCACACTAAAATATTCTGATGTTAATACTTACTTGAATTTAATAGCTTTTTCTTAAGGAAACACTAAAGGTAAAAATTTATTATCCCACGGAATGTTTTTTCAGAAGTTGTTTTAATATTCCCTTGAGTGTTGCTTGAAAGCAGCGATTCTCAATCTTAGATGGACATAAAGGCCACCTGAGGACTCTTAAAAATACTGATTCCTGGGCCTTGGCATCAAAGGTTCCATATATATTGGTTTGAGGGAAGATCCAGAGACCAGGAATTTTTTTTTTTTTTTTTTTTTGCTGCCTAAGTAGTCGGGTTTAAGAACTACTACTCTCAAGCAGTTGTCTGATTTTGAGAATCACTTAAGGGTTTTATTTTAAAATGTTTCTTAGACCCCACCCACAACTTCCAAGATCAGAATTTCCTGGAAGCATAGCTGGGAAATGTATACCACTTTTATCAAGTGCTTCAGAATTTTGAAAACAATTCGAGATATAAGAAAAGGAGATACTAAGGTGGTCTAGAGATAACTTTGAAAAGAAATGTAAGTGAACATCGTTTGAGTGCACATACTGGATGCTAGGCAACTTTTAAAAGTTTTGATGATTCATAGCTATTTTTCACCATACTTAAAAATCTATCTGACTGAGAAATTCTACCTAATCCTTGAGAAGAGAAACGAAATATGAATCTACTTAATTCTGCAATAGTAAAATCATAATTTATAAGGTACATTTCAGCCAACAAAATCAAAGCAGTTCATGGAATAATTGTATTAATACTCAAAATATCATCTGAGTTGCATACTGAGGAATAGCCTGTAAATAGCTTTAACAAAAAAAAATCACTAAATCTTCCAAAATTCTATTTGCATGGGTTCTAGCCAAGCTTAACAAATGCTACCTACCCACTCTAATAACAACAGACACCTCCTTCTTTACTTTTGCCAAAGTTGTAAGCTTAGGGGAAATACACTCAGAATTCCTCTCCAACATATAATTGTGGAAACCAAAAAAAATTGAGGAAAAAAAGAAAGAAAGGCAAATTTCTTACATGTCCTACTGTTCCTTCTTTTTCTTAAGCCCTGCTTGGTCGCTTTTCAACTAGGTAGGTACATGACTAGGGTCTTATTTTCATCAGTAAACATGCAGTGGTCTAAAAATCTTAAATAAAGGAAATAAGAAAATGATATACAGGAACAACTGTTAGGATTAGGATGTTGGAAAAAAAAAAGGTGGGGGGAGGACCCAAGAGAGAAAAGGAATGAGAGTAAGTTAAAAGAAGCAGAGGCAAGGAAAGCAAGAGAGAAAGAGTGAGACATTCTCCTAAATTTCTTAATTAAAAATATACTTTTTACTTTAATCGTGCTATCTATTCACCAAAACCAACACTCTTCCTTTATTAAATGCCTTTTCTTTAACTGCAGTGTTGAAAAAAATTATATATAAAAAGTATCTAGAAC